TTTGACGACAACTTTCTGCTCGAAACGCTCGCTGCAGCTTTTTTCTTAGCTTTTTCAGCTCCATATTCCATTCTTGTGAGCAGATTTACGCTATTATGTGAATTAATTGATTGGTTGTAAGAGATAAAAACTTGCAAAGTATGATATTGACATGATTGTGTTCAGTCTTGCAACTTCGGTTGAATAGAGCCATTCGGTTCGTTCGGCGAGTTCATCACAAGGCATCCACGGGTCATGCACCGCACTCACTTTAGTGCCCTCTTCGCCTTCATTCAATGCGATAGGCAACAGCTTCTCGATCAGACTTTTCGTTAAGCACTTCAAGTTCAATGACAGTCAGTTTGATTAGAAAATAATCATTACTCAGTTGATAAATCGAAGTGGATACTATTCAGGATTGATCAAAAGTAAACATGGATACCGATGGATGACAAGTTGAAAATAATTGAGCAGATCCATCTCATATGTTCGGTCCGACAACCTCTATTCGATTTAAGTTAATCAAATTAGCCGAGATGCTTATATTTTAGTGATTTTATGGNTTCATACAATTCTATTTATCTGTGTTCATGGACGTTTGATGATTTCATTCGAAAATGCTGATAAATATGATTCGTATTCACTGTCAACCTTAAAAAACGTTTGCTGAACTGAATCACCTACAGGTTCGTCCCATATGTCTTTTTCATCATCTGCATCTTTTTCTCGCTTCTTCCTCTCGCAGTTTGCCTTCTTTTCTCGTCGAGAACTTTTTCTGGACGATAAGTTCGATCGGGATATTGACGATGATGTTGAAGCATTACTTTTGATAGAGTCATCCTTAACAAAGTTATTGATATGCCCTGTGAAAAGAGTATTCCGAACTGCATGCGATGATCCTAATCTTTTCTGTTCGTATGACAATCAAAATCCACCAATGAGAATATGAGAGTGCTTCGAACTGTTACGTATCAGAGTTACCTTTTCAAAAAAGGTCTTATTGATGGAGAATTATTAGAATTCAAATCTGAATTCTTCCAACTGACTATTTCGAACATGTTTGAGTTCTATATTGTCAAGGAATTTCATCAGTAATGATTTCGATGAAAGCAAAATTGTTCCAGCGGTTACTAACCTCAAGAAACTTAGACTTGGGTCGACGTAGTTTGCGCACCCGTCTTCCACTTCGCACACTGGTAGCCACCCGGGGATTTTCACCATCTGAAAATATAATCCGATTGCCTCAAAATCTCACCGGTATTCAACAGTTAATAGATTCAAGATCATTTGTGCACAGAAATCATATTGCATATTCTAGTCAAATCTTTAATTTTCATTCGTTTACAAAGCACACTGCTTCTGCGATGACATCTTCGACAATTGGAGACGGGAAAATCGGGGATTTTCGAGGACGAATCGGCAAAATTCCACGCACCACACTAGACAAGACTAGCGATCTAGTGAATCATACTCA